ATTGTAATGCATCTTAGTTCATCAGGAAATAGAACCTTCTTTCTACGAAAAGAAAAATTGTTCAGAATTAGTCAAGACCATGAAGGCACCATGGAATGGTCAGATGACCAATTTTACACTTTTTCTTCCAAAGTTCTACATGTGTTGGGCAAGTATAAAATGGGTGGTGAGGAGGAAAAGTAGGGGAGGGATGGGAAAGATGGGATGGGAGCAGGGGCGGGCTGACAACTCATGGGGCCCCCGGGCAATAGGGGATCATGCGGCCCCTGTGTCCTTGCCCACACTCAAAGCACACCCAAAAAAGCCTATAAAAAGTACCAGGGGCATTTCATGGGGCCCCCTACTGACCCTGGGGCCTCGGGCAGTGCCCAACTGCTCAAATGGTCAGTCCGCCCCTGGATGGGAGGTATAGGTGACAGTGGGGGGCAGAGCCAGCCAAACTTATCATCGAATACGGCAAAGACTTATGTGTTCTAGTGTCAGGTTGTCAAGGAATCCCCATGAAAGGTAGAAGAAAGGTAGGACTTGATCCATGGTTCCCAAACTTTTTGGAATTTTTTCATAGTGCTAACCCTGACCTGAAAAACCAGGAGCTTGATTTCTGTAAAAGGCAGCACTGGGGATTTGTAGGCTCTGGCTATAACCTTTTTGGCTTCTGTTAGAGTATGAGTGACCAACCTAAATTAGGTATTGGTACAGGCTTTCATTTTTTTTTTTTTGCCAAGCACAGTTCCCAGGGTCAGTAGGGGGCTCCATGAGATGCCCCTAGTGCCTTTTTTTGGTGTGGTTTGAGTGTGGGTGAGGACCCAGGGGCCCCATGATCCCAAAACTCAGAACCTTAGCACTTCACTATTGACAATGAGTCTGCTAACCTTTGTGTTTGATCAGCAGTTATAACTAATAAAGTTTGTCTACTTTGTACAAGGCCGGCAGAAGATCCTAAAAACGCTTTGTAAATTTCATCCACTGTCCAGCCTTTCTCAACCTTTTCAACATTGAGGAACCCTTCAAATAACTTTCTGATCTCCGGGAACCCCTGCTAAAAATGAGTCTATCTACAACTCATGATACTTAGTCATGATACAGCCAAAAAGATTAATGTGTCAGCGGGAACTTATCTGAGGGTAGAATGCTCAAGGAACCCTTAACCTCTGACAGCAAAAATGATCACATTGTGTCCAGGGAATTACCCCCTTACAGACAGCCAAAAAGATCTTGTCAGAGGGAACTTATCTGAGAGGTGGAAGGTTCTCATTGCTCAAGGAACCCCTAGCAACCTCTGTAGAACCTCCATGGTGATGGTCAGTGGGAAGAATGCTCCTTACACTTGTGGTCCTTGGGAAGAATTCCCTCCTTACAGACAACCAAAAAGATCAATGGTGTCAGCGGGAACTTATCTGAGAGGTAGAAGGTTCTCATTGCTCAAGGAGCCCCTAGCAACCTCTGTAGAACCTCCATGGTGATGGTCAGTGGGAAGAATGCTCTTTACACTTATGGCCATTGGGAAGAATTACCCCCTTACAGACAGCCAAAAAGATCTATGGTGTCAGAGGGAACTTATCTGAGAGGTAGAAGGTTCTCATTGCTCAAGGAACCCCTAGCAACCTCTGTAGAACCTCCATGGAGCCCTGGTTGGGAAATCCTGTTTTAAACCTTAATCAGAAGACAAATCCTTTGTCGGATGTCCATACTTGGCCAATAGAGCCGATTCTGATGCCTACAGGGCCAGCATAGGCAAAGCATTTTGGTGACCGTCCTGGCTAGTCAAGGGTTAAAGGGTTCCACCAGCTCTCGGTTAAACACAAGCTCTGGTGGAAGAGCCTAAAAACGCATTGTAAATTTCATCCACTGTCCAGCCTTTCTCAACCTTTTCAACACTGAAGAACCTTTGAAATACCTTTCTGATCTCTGGGAACCCCTGCTAAAAATGAGTCTATCTACAACTCATGATACATTAGTGTGATGGTCAATGGGAAGAATGCTCCTTACACTTGAGGTCCTTGGGAAGAATTCCCTCCTTACAGACAGCCAAAAAGATCAATGGTGTCAGCGGGAACTTATCTGAGAGGTAGAAGGTTCTCATTGCTCAAGGAACCCCTAGCAACCTCTGTAGAACCTCCACGGTGATGGTCAGTGGGAAGAATGCTCTTTACGCTTGTGGCCATTGGGAAGAATTCCCCCCTTACAGACAGCCAAAAAGATCAATGGTGTCAGAGGGAACTTATCTGAGAGGTAGAAGGTTCTCTTTGCTCAAGGAACCCATAGCAACCTCTGTAGAACCTCCATGGAACCCTGGTTGAGAAACCCTGTTCTAAACCTTAATCAGAAGACAAATCCCCTTGTCGGATGTCCATACTTGGCCAATAGAGCCGATTCTGATGCCTGTAGGGCCAGCATAGGCAAAGCATTTTGGTGACCCTCCTGGCTAGTCAAGGGTTAAAGGGTTCCACCAGCCCTCGGTTAAACACAAGCTCTGTGTTTAACCGAGGGAACTTATCTGAGAGGTAGAAGGTTCTCATTGTTCAAGGAACCCCTAGCAACCTCTGTAGAACCTCCACGGTGATGGTCAGTGGGAAGAATGCTCCTTACACTTGTGGTCTGATTCTGATGCCTACAGGGCCAGCATAGGCAAAGCATTTTGCTGACCGTCCCGGCTAGTCAAGGGTTAAAGGGTTCCACCAGCCCTCGGTTAAACACAAGCTCTGCTAAAGTGTTTGTTGAATTCACACCAGCTTATGTTGGCCCACAGAGTAAGCTCTGTGAAATTCCTTCAAACATACCGTTTCCATGTAACTTAAATGAAGAGCACCTGTCTAAGAGGACCGCAATGTACGTCGCCCCCCCCCCCCCCACCCCGTACACTGTGCATTTCAAAACCCTCCACTAACCCCCTCCACCAGCCCACCATGGCCGCGTGTTATTGGCCCAGCGAAGGATATGTAGAATGTTCTGCCGTGATGTAACAGATTGCATTTCACAACAGAGCTGCGCAGTAATTCAAAGCTGTCGTTGGGTGTAATTTTAAACCAGAGATGTAACTACTACGAGGCTGGCGTTGGAGGAATCCCTTCTACCGGGGCCTCTGCACACTGGAGGCCCGTGTACACAAACATGGCTAATTTGTTTGGTCAAACACTTCCAGCAAGGACAAGTTCGGGTTACTTATTAAAAAAAAGAAATAAGAGAAGTGAATTATTTAATTGGGTCTCCATTTTCCAGGGCACTTAAAATGGAAACACCAACGCGCCTGAAAACGCTTTTTCAAGTTTGCACTATTGGTTTTGTACACTTTTATATACAATTGTTTTTTTAGTTCTCCTTTTTTTTATTATTGCCTTCCAGCAAATCCATGTGAAATTATGGACATCAAAGAGCAAAAGTTACAATTTTTGCACATTTAAAAAAAAAAAAAAACATTATTATTTTATTATAACAATTATGCAATTATTAATTCATTCATTCATTCATTAAAATTATTATAACCTATTTTGTGTTTTGCACATACATTATTATTTTATTATAACAATTATTTAATTATTAATTCATTCATTAAAATGATTATAACCTATTTTTTGTTTTGCACATACATTATTATTTTATTATAACAATTATTCAATTATTAATTAAAATGATTATAACCTATTTTGTGATTTGCACATACATAATTATTTTATTATACCAATTATTCAATTATTAATTAATTCATTAACATTATTATAACCTATTTTGTGATTTGCACATACATTATTATTGTATTAAAACAATTATTCAATTATTAATTAATTAATTAAAATGATTATAGCCTATTTTGTGATTTGCACATACATTATTATTTTATTATAACAATTATTCAATTATGAATTCATTAATTAAAATTATTATAACCTATTTTATGTTTTGCAGATACATTATTATTTTATTATAACAATTATTCAATTATTAATTAAATAAAATGATTATAGCCTATTTTGTGATTTGCACATACATTATTATTTTATTATAAACAATTATTCAATTATGAATTCATTAATTAAAATTATTATAACCTATTTTATGTTTTGCAGATACATTATTATTTTATTATAACAATTATTCAATTATTAATTAATTAAAAATGATTATAGCCTATTTTGTGATTTGCACATAGATTATTGTTGTATTATAACAATTATTTAATTATTAATTCATTCATTAACATTATTATATACCTATTTTGTTTTTGCACTTACATTATTAATTTATTATTAATTAATTCAATTATTAATTAATTCATTAATTAAAATTATTATAACCTATTTTGTATTTTGCACTTACATTATTATTTTATTATAACAATTATTCAATTATTAATTAATTCATTAAAATTATTATAACCTATTTTGCGTTCTGCACATACATTATTATTTTTATTATAACAATTATTCAATTATTAATTAATTCATTAATTAAAATTATTATAACCTATTTTGTATTTTGCACTTACATTATTATTTTATTAAAACAATTATTCAATTATTTTAATTCATTAAAATGATTATAACCTATTTTGCGTTCTGCACATACATTATTATTTTATTATAACAATTATTCAATTATTAATTAATTCATTAATTAAAATGATTATAACCTATTTTGTGATTTGCTCATACATTATTATTTTATTATAACAATTATTCAATTATTAATTCATTAAAATTATTATAACCTATTTTGTGTTTGGCACCTACTTTATTATTTTATTGTAATAATGATTAATGTATTAGTTATTATTTATTCATTAGTAATTATAACTTACTGTATATTGTGCTGGCTTTTTCCATATTTTTTAACACATTAACCATTAATTATAATAATTATTAATGTATTAATTATTATTTAGTAATTCATAATGATTATAACCTATACTGTGTTTTTCGCACATTTTTTGAAAATACATTATTTTATTTGAATTAATAATAATGTATTAAAGTGTTGCTAAACAGTAAATTCAGTCTGTAGATGCAGTAAAGCATGCTTGTTATACTCACTGTGGAACCTAAGGGGTTAATCCTCTGCATTGTGTAATAATACTGTTTGATCTTGACTTCTATGATCCTCCCCTTCTTCCAGTGTCCTCCTCTTATCTCCTGATAAGACATATCGTGTGGAGACACTCTGCACATACTCAGTTTAGTGTGTATTGCTGGCAAGGTTTTTTTTTTTTTGGGAGAGTGCATGTGATCAGCACAGGGCCAATCGACACTGTCCAGACAGAGGGTCAGGGGTTCTGCATCCTCCTAAACCAGGGGTCTCCAAACTTTCTATACAAAGGGCCAGTTTACTGTCCTTGAATCTTTAGAGGGGCTCGACTGTGGTCAACGGGAGTAGAAAGAGTACTAGTGTCAGTAGCAGTAAAAAATGCCCCATGACTGTGGGTAGTGGAAGGAATAGTGCCCCATCATTGGTGTCAGTGGGAGGAATAGTGCCCCATCATTGGTGTCAGTGGGAGGAATAGTGTCCCATCATTGGTATCAGTGGGAGGAATAGTGTCCCATCATTGGTATCAGTGGGAGGAATAGTGTCCCATCATTGGTATCAGTGGGAGGAATAGTGCCCCATCATTGGTGTCAGTGGGAGGAATAGTGCCCCATCATTGGTATCAGTGGGAGGAATAGTGCCCCATCATTGGTATCAGTGGAAGGAATAGTGCCCCATCATTGGTGTCAGTGGAGGGAATAGTTTCCCCATCATTGGTATCAGTGGAGGGAATAGTTCCCCATCATTGGTATCAGTGGGAGGAATAGTGCCCCATCATTGGTGTCAGTAGGAGGAATAGTGCCCCATCATTGGTATCAGTGGAAGGAATAGTGCCCCATTATTGGTATCAGTGGAGGGAATAGTTCCCCATCATTGGTGTCAGTGGGAGGAATAGTGCCCCATCATTGGTGTCAGTAGGAGGAATAGTGCCCCATCATTGGTATCAGTGGGAGGAATAGTGCCCCATCATTGGTGTCAGTGGGAGGAATAGTGTCCCATCATTGGTATCAGTGGGAGGAATAGTGCCCCATCATTGGTGTCAGTAGGAGGAATAGTGCCCCATCATTGGTATCAGTGGGAGGAATAGTGCCCCATCATTGGTGTCAGTGGGAGGAATAGTGTCCCATCATTGGTATCAGTGGGAGGAATAGTGCCCCATCATTGGTGTCAGTGGGAGGAATAGTGCCCCATCATTGGTGTCAGTAGGAGGAATAGTGCCCCATCATTGGTATCAGTGGGAGGAATAGTGCCCCATCATTGGTGTCAGTGGGAGGAATAGTGTCCCATCATTGGTATCAGTGGGAGGAATAGTGCCCCATCATTGGTATCAGTGGAGGGAATAGTTCCCCATCATTGGTATCAGTGGGAGGAATAGTGCCCCATCATTGGTGTCAGTAGGAGGAATAGTGCCCCATCATTGGTATCAGTGGGAGGAATAGTGCCCCATCATTGGTGTCAGTGGGAGGAATAGTGTCCCATCATTGGTATCAGTGGGAGGAATAGTGCCCCATCATTGGTGTCAGTGGGAGGAATAGTGCCCCATCATTGGTATCAGTGGGAGGAATAGTGCCCCATCATTGGTATCAGAGGGAGGAATAGTGTCCCATCATTGGTGTTAGTGGGAGGAATAGTGCCCCATCATTGGTGTCAGGGGGAGGAATAGTGCCCATCATTGGTATCAGTGGGGAGGAATAGTGCCCCATCATTGGTGTCAGTGGGAGGAATAGTGCCCCATCATTGGTGTCAGTGGGAGGAATAGTGCCCCATCATTGGTGTCAGTGGGAGGAATAGTGCCTCATCATTGGTATCAGTGGGAGGAATAGTGCCCCATCATTGGTATCAGTGGGAGGAACTATGACCCAAGGGCCGGATAAAATGAAGCAAAGGGCCACATCTGGCCCTCGGGCTGCAGTTTGGAGACCACTGTCCTAGAGCAGAAACTAAACTCCTCCTACAAGCTTTAACCAGTGTTGTGCTGAACACTGATAGAAGTCACAAGACTGCTCTAACTGCTGATGAGAAAAGGGGTTTAGCAGTTTATATTTACTAAAATAATTTCACTTCCCCATAGTGTGTACTGTGGGAGACCAGATAGAGTGAATGCAGGGTCCTGGGTTTAGTAAAACTTTAATTATTATTTTTTAATAATTATTATGACCTATATTATAATTTTTGCACATTTTTTATAAAATAAACTATTATTGTATTATAAATAATAATAATTAATTTAATAATTATTTGTATTAATCAATAATTATTATAACCTATATTTTTACAAAAATATATTATTATTTTACTATAATAATAATAATTATTATTATTATTAATTAATATTAACAATCAATCAATCAATTAATTAATTATTATAACCTAGTTTTTGTTTTTTTGCATTTTTTAAAATACACGATCATGTTATTCTAATAATAACAATAATAATAATAACAATAATAATAATTATAAATCAATTATTTATTAATTAATAATTATTAATATTACTACATTTGTATTTTTAAATACATGATAATGTTATTATAATAATATAATAATAATACTAATAATAATTATGAATCTATTATTTATTAATTAATAATTATTAATGTTACTACATTTGTATTTTTTATATACATGGTAATGTTATTATAATTATTATAATAATAATAGTAATAATAATATTAATAATAATTAAAAAAATATATATTATTTAATAATTAATAATATTACTAAATTTGTATTTTTAAATACATGATAATGTTATAAAAATAATAATAATTATAATAATAATAATAATTAAAACATCTATTATTTATGAATTAATACTTATTAATATGACTACATTTGTATTTTTAAATACATGATAATGTTATAATAATAATAATAATAATAAAAAATCTATTATTCATTAATTAATAATTATTAATGTTACTACATTTGTATTTTTATATACATGGTAATGTTATTATAATTATTATAATAATAATAATAATAATAATAGTAATAATAATAATAATATAATAATAATTAAAAAATATATTATTTAATAATTAATAATATTACTAAATTTGTATTTTTAAATACATGATAATGTTATAAAAATAATAATAATTATAATAATAATAATATTAAAACATCTATTATTTATGAATTAATACTTATTAATATGACTACATTTGTATTTTTAAATACATGATAATGTTATAATAATAATAATAATAATAAAAAATCTATTATTCATTAATTAATAATTATTAATGTTACTACATTTGTATTTTTATATACATGATAATGTTATTATAATTATTATAATAATAATAATAATAATAATAGTAAATAATAATAATATTAATAATAATAAAACAATCTATTATTTAATAATTAATACTTATTAATATTACTACATTTGTATTTTTAAATACATGATAATGTTACTACATTTGTAACTGACTTTTATTTAAAAACTGCACAAAGCACACAGCGGGCACGACTAAAAAAAAAAATGCATAATGCAGCAATGTAAGGCTGCATCCCCACCTGAGAGTTTCATGAATAAACAAATGTGTGCGTTTTTTCCTGCATTCACAAAAACACATGGAAAATGTGTGTCACGCGTGGCACATTCATTGTTAACGACTCCCCAAACACGGCAAGCAGACGCGCATTTTTGCACATTTTAAAACGCGTTGCGGATGCGTCAAACTGCGTATTTAAGGGCTCTTTAATTTTTTTTACTGACCTAAATGCAGCAGATGGTTTTCGATGAGCCTGTACATACAAGCGTGTAAACTTGTGCAGCATATAGATCAGTAAAATCTGCTTTGCTCGCCAGTATTTTGCACAAGTAAACACACAACCCCCTTTTAAAAAGCTAGAAGGATTGCTATGTGTCTGTGCGCAGACCCGCATTTACGCACATATACGCGCGTACTATACAGCCCTTCCCTGCATTTTTTGACGGGGACCTTTTTTTGCCAGAAAAATCTAATTTGCAAATCTCAGAACCGTGTGCAAAAACCCCCAAAAAATGCACCAAGCTCAATGCCCAAAAAGGTACGTCAGCTACTTTGGCACGTTTGTTGCACGATTGGCAGCCCATTGAAATGAATGGACGGCCCTATGCATGTAGGTGTGAACCTAGCCTAGGACCTCATTTACACTGATGACGAGTTTACCGGCCAATCCAATCTGATTGGTTGAGGGGCGGTTTGCAGGTGTTCAGGAGGTGAATGCCTGTTTCTTTTTTCCTATCCCAAAGGTGCAGTACTGTGCCGTAACTGGTTACGGTCTCGTTGACTTACGTGAATTTGGAAAGTGCCACCACCTTCCAAGTATGACATGCCAGGTTGCATTTGGCACATCGTGGACAGACCTGAGCAGCCGCCCTGGTATTTTTTGGGTGGGCGGCAAAAATGTAGACTGCTTGTTTTTACCGTCCCTTTGCTGCCCATTTGAACGCAACCGAGCGCAACATATCAAGGTGAACAGTTTCATAGATGTTGATGGACCTTTAGGTAGAACATGGGGAAAGGCTGAGTGGTGAAGGTGATAGGGAAGGCTTTACATTCGTCTCAACACGGAGACGAATGCAAAAACTGGTTTTATTATGTAATATGAATTTTTATATGGATAATAAAAAATTTTTTTTTTTACCTTTTTCACCTGACTTATCATTGAAGTAGCTCCTATTATCAATTTTCTACAGTTACAATAAGGGTTGTGGTGAGGCTGGTCTATGTTGGGTTGGTCCACCTAGAGAACATTCCCATTTTTGTATGCAGTTGTTTTTAGGTTTCAGTAATGTGTCCGTATCCCGGACTGCGGTTTTATGGACTTTATATTTTTTTGTGTATAGTTTATATTTAACCGCTAAATGAAAAGGTTTTCATTGTGGTATACGGTCTGTAGAGATTCTTTTTGGACAGTTCTTTTCTCCGTTTGGGTTGATGTATTGTTAGCTCCAAAACCCCAACGTTTCCAGAGCATCAGTGGGCAAGTATTCTCCATTCACCATTTCCAAGGACATCATGCAGGGGCCATGGGGCTTTATATAGCTGGCGAAGGGGAAGAATTCAGAAAAAGGAACAGAAAAAACAAAAGATCTAAGGCAGCATGATGCACCATAATAAAACATCAGTGGTGTATCCAGACACATCTGAGCTTCAATCCCATATCTACTGGTCCATGCTGACCATCTGCTACCCCTTTT